TCCTCATCCCCCACATGGAGAAACTGATGCTTAGAAAAATCACTGGGTGAAGGACCACTGATGCAAAAACCTGAATTTTCAGTCAGTAAAGTGTGATTCCTGTCAGATCAGAGAAGACACAATTGTACCACAGGAAGATCCTGCCATTCTCTGGGTGTATTTCCACACATGCAAGACATACAGACTGGGATTATATAACTACAGAACAGCCTAGCTTATTAATAGAAAGTAACTGCAATTCTGAAAACCTAGAAGACACGTGGCTGTTACAGAAACCTCAGTTACAATGAACCTGCAAGGCCATTGAAGAGCCAGCTAATGAAACTGAAGTTTTGGAAATTTTTGGCTCTCTAAATTGGAAAAGCAGGACTCGTGTGAGGATGGCTGTATCCATTTCTAATCCTATGGAGTTCAGAATAAAAGTCTTTTTTATTAATTCAGTGATTAGACTTGGAAAAGAGCTGCAAACACAGAGACTCTGGTTTTAAATTAAAATCCACATGCTGTAAAGTTTCAGATCACCACTGGGAGCCTGCTGATTCAAAACTAAAATCAAAAATGAAGAGAAAGCAAAAAAAAATGTAGTGGCTTTTCTAACTTAAAAAGGGGAGGGGTGTAGCAGTAGTGCACACCTTTAATCCCAGCACTTGGAAGGCAGAGCAGGCAGATCTCTGTGAGTTTGAGGCCAGCCTGGTCTCCACAGGGAGTTAGGACAGCCAGGACTACACAGAGAAACCCTTTTTCAACCCCTCCCCCAAAAAACACCAACAAACAGAAAAATGAAAACAAACAAAAAAGATAAGAGACTCAAACAGTTTTCAAGAATCAAAGGTCAGCCAGCAGAACCTTGTCAGTCCAATGGACAAGAGAGACTTCCTAAGTCCAGTCAGTGGTAGAACCATCTTTGCCATTGGTGTCTGGATCCTCAGCAACAATAAGGTTGTGGCTTCATCTCAGAAATACTGAGGCAGAGGAAATAACTACACTGGGAAAATCATATTTCTTTTCTTTCCCTTTTTTTAAAACAAGGTTTCTTTGTGTAGTCCTGGTTGTCCTGAAACTCACTCTGTAGACCAAGCTGGCCTGTGCCAAATGCTGGGATTAAAAGCATGCACTGCCACCAAACAGCCATATTTCTTTATTTGTAGTAAGATGACAAAATATTTCTAAGTTTCTCCAGAAATGATACAAAAACAAAAACAAAACAAACAAACAAACAAACAAAAAAACCAAAACTTGGATTGGAACAGGGACATACTATCTAATCGTCTTGTAATAAGATGTCTGAGAGAGTTAGATTTGTGCTTGAATGAGTGTGTGTGTGTGTGTGTGTGTGTGTGTGTGTGTCTGTAAAATGTGAATCTGCATGGTCACTCCATAATATCAATCAAAAAACTAGGATCTAACCTAATTGAATCATGGATTTCCAGAAAAGTCCCTGAAACAGGGAGTTCTCTGCCTCAGTCTAGATGTAGGCTCTTCGAAGACCCACAAGATCCAAAGCTAATGGAGGTAAGGAAACACCACTCATGATCAATGGTGCAGAAAACAGACAGCTAAAAACTGGATTTTTATCTTCAAAACATCCATAGCTTACTTGATTGTCTGAAAAAGTGGTACAATGATATTAGTCAACCAAACTGCCTGTTGCTGAACTTATCAAGTAGGGTAACCTCACCTCTTTAATTTCTCACAGGAAAAATGTCAAGTGTAGGGAGATAAAACAAAGCAAGATTTTTTTGTTGTTTTGCAACAGTGGGGGGAGAAAACTTTCAGATATAATTATTTTGTCTTTTCTAACACCTGTGAGGTAGGCAGAGCAGGTAATAGTAACAACACATAAATATAAACTATGACAGAGAGAAATTATGTAGCTTGCCTAAAGCCCCCAGACACAAAATAGCATAGAACTGTCATAAACAGGAGGGCTGCTGGTATGACTTAGTCCATCAAGCAGTATAATGAGGGGGCGGCAGAAAAACTTGAGGATGTTACTGAAATATGTCAAGAGAAATCAACACCAGTTTGTATTTCCATTGCAAGTATCCCTCTTTTTTATTTCTACTATTTTTTGTGTATGAGTGTTTTGCTTGCAAGTATGTCTATATACCACTTTTGTCCTGGTGCCTGTAGGAAGCCAGAAAAGGGCATCAGATTTCCCTGGGTTTGGAGTTACAGATGGTTGTGAGACACCATATAGCTACTGGGAATTGAACCTGAGTCTTCTGGAAGAACAGCCAGTGCTCTTAGCCACTAAGCCTTCTCTCTAGCCCCAGAATATCTTAAGAAGCTAGAAGGAAAATGCTGTGAGCTTTGAAGTCCTGTGCACTCCTTTCCTGGGGTACTTATGTGACCTTTGTGGTTCTTATTTTATATTTATATATTGTATATTAGAATATGTTATAATCATGAAGTAACCCAATTGCTCATGTGTTTCAGGCATGAGATTGAGCCCATAGATAAGGTCATTCAGAGGTAGTTTGCTAATTGATACAGTCAAGATTGATGGTATTAGTTGGAGGTAATGGAAAATCCTGGAGGCAAGACTTAGTTGGAGAAAGTAGGGGTTTTCTCATCTTTATTTTTAAAAGATATTTTATTATTTTATTCTTAATTGTACATGTATGTGCCCAGGAGTGTAGGTGTCTGCAGGATCCAGAAAGCTTGTCAGGTTACTTTTCTGTTGCTGTGATAAAACACTGTGACCAAAGCTACTTACAGAGTGTTTAATTGGGCTTACGGTTCCAGACAGATGAGAGTCCTTCATGGCTGGGAAGCATGGCAGCAAGCAGCAGGAAACAGGGAACTGGGAGCTCTCTTCCTTTACCTCAAGTATGAAGCAAAGACAACAAACTGGATGTAGGCCAGACTTCATACTTTCAAAGCCTGCCCTTAGTAACAAACTTCCTCCAACAAGGCCACACCACCTAAACCTCCCTAAACAGTCCCACCAACTACGGACCAAACATCTAAATGCCAAAGACCATGGGAGACATCTCATTCAAAACCCTACAGAGCCCCTGGAGCTGGCGTTACCGACAGTTTTGAGTTTGAGCTGCCCAACATGACTGCTGGGAGCCACACTGGGGTCCTCTCTCCATTCCCCCGAATGGCTTTTCTTACCCTGGTCCTTTGTGTCTGTCGCTCTGCTTCTCTGCCACCATGAAGTGAGCAGCTGTTCCGCCACACTACAGACGGAGAAACAAGGGTCCCGCTGACCATAGGGTGGAACCTGGAAATCACAGTCCAAGGTAAATCTTTCTCCTTTTAAAATGTTTTCTCATTTTGTCACGGTGACAAAGAGTTAACACAGAACAAGACAGGGTCTAGATGTGATGGCTGATCCTGTCAACTTGATGAGATCTGAAATCAATTAAGAGATACTCCTTTGGCCAGGTCTATTAGAGTATTTCCTAAAATGATTAACCACGGAAGACCCTCCCCCAGGACGGAAGGCACTTCCTGGTGGGGGCCCAGCTACAAGGAGGTTCTAGTGAAAAGCTGTGTGTGGCCTTTCACCCCACCGTCTTCACCTTTGCTGGTGAGTGAATTCACCCTATTGTGGTCACAGCTACTGCCATTCTCTGCTGCCACCAGAACCCAGCCCCGTCTGCTTCCCAACATGAAATGAAGACCAGTGGCTTTCTAGGAATATTCCAGACCTCCCAGCACCAGACTTGGACTGCTGAGGTACCCAGCCACTTGGACTGAGCAGCTTCTTCAACAGACAGTCCATTGTGCAAGAGCTCAGTGTGACTCATGTAAGCCAACCGAATAAAATTCCTCTTTAGTATATATATTCACTCAGTCAACTCGGTTCTTCAGAGATTTCCTAATACCCAAGGCATACATGAGACCAACCCCTGAGCCCAAATGCAAATGAACACATTACCTTTGAAGTACATATTCTTCATATGAGGCCATGCTGCTCTTTTCTAATTATTATTTATTCTGAATTTGGTCAATTCTGTATCGTTCTTACCCCATCTGAAAGCAACACACTAATTTGAAGGATCTACAGATAATCAAACCCAGAGCCTTGTGCTTCACACATAAGCCCTTACCACTGAGCTACACCTCAGCCTTAAACTTCATGTACTTTTAGCCAGATGTGATGGTATGAGCTTTCCTTGTACTAGCAGCACCTTGGAGGATAAGCAGGCTAGTTGGTTCCAGGCCAGTGAGGGCTACATAGTGTGAGACCCTGTCTATAAAACAAAAAATGAAACAATATAAAGCTTATTAGGTTTTATACAAAACAACAAGTTTACATAGCTTTGCATAAATTTTATACTGTACAACTCACTGTTTTCCCCCTCATAAATTATGCTTGTTTTTTTAACTCAGTTGATATAGCTATAGTAAAATATCCAACTTTTTGTTATTTTTTTTAAGGCAGGATATCACTATGTAGCTCTGGCTGTTTCTGCCTCCCAAGTGCTGGGATTAAAGGTGTGTGCCATCATTCATAGCCCCCCCAACTTTCTTTAAAAGATTTAATTTTTAATTACATGTATCTAAACAGGTATGAGCATGCGTGCAGATGCCTGAAGACACCAGAAGAGGACGTTATACCACCTGAAGCAGAAGTAACAGGTGGTACAAGCGACCTGACATGGGGTCTTCTGCAAGAACAGTATGTGCTCTTCACAGCTAAATCACCTGTCTAGCCCAATACCAACTTTTATCCCAAATTTCTATGCTTTAGTTTCTTCCATTACTTAGTAGAGAATTCAGACTGAATCATCACCGAATACTCTTCCATATGTGAAATTCTAGTTTTACTTTTTATAAGTAATGTACAGGTGTGCAGCTTGCTCTAATAGTTTAGACCAGATCATAACTGATTTACATGAGAAAATTTACTTAGGAATACATGCCCAATGGAAATGTGTCATGGAATCATTTCAGATAGATGGAAAAACTTAAATATACTACTTCAGATATAAGACAAGATTTGAAGTGAAATAGGGAATGACCAGAGAAACAAAAAGAAAATCTGCAATGCAAAAATTGCAAAGTTTATTTTCTTAAATAAAATACTATATTCATATCCATACAAATAATTATTACAACCATTAAAATGTTACATTTAACAATAAAAATTTCAAAACTTTAAACAAGAGCATGTTTTGGGATATTCACATCCTAATACAATGCATTTGTAAAAAGATGCCAAAATAAACAGGACCTATTCTTATTTACAACTGTAGGACAATCCTGATCCTATTATACATATCTGCTCTGTATTCCATTACAAAACAAATTAGTTTCCATTAGAATTATAAACCAAGTGATTTACAGTTATAGGACACAGTGCACAGAAAACTGCTGGCTGGGTCATAGATACAAATATTACACTACTGAAGCACTAAAATTCATGTTTTCCTGGTGCTTGCCTACTGTAAGCATCACAACCAGTGAATCTATAAATAATTTGTGAAAGTAATCATGTTCTCCTCAATTTTCAACCCTTAAAAAAAATGAAAACACACACACACACACACACACACACACACACACACACTGCTGAAAGTGGAAGAATTTCCCTTCACAGTAACACAGCTGCAGCATCTTAAGCAACACTGTCTGGTCCCTTCTTGGAAGATAACAGCTCAACACCCCGAAAATTTACCACTATCATCAAGCCCTGTACCTAGTGACCTTACAGATGAAAATGACTTTAAGACTTCAGCAGCAGGAGGGCAGAGAGGTCTCATAAAAACTGAAGACAATATTAAAAGGGTCAAATTCTAATTTCCTATTACATATAACTGGGCCAAAAAAATTAAAGATCATCTGTTGTTTAAAAATGTGCTACATTATAGGAGAGGTCTTGTTTATGTCTCATGACACTGACAGGCTGTGTATTCACCCAGTGACTTGCAGTGCATGCCCACCATGCTCAGCCAAGGTTGACTTATGTTTATGATGCACCTGATGACATATGTGCCACCCCCCATTACCCACTAGAGTAGAGTTTATGCAAATGTGGAAATGAGGATGTGGAAGGACTGCCTGCCACACAAGCTCTGTGTTTACGGGTTCAGCTACACAGCTTGATAGTTACTTTGTCAGTGATGGCTCAGAGGTGGTAAGGCAAGAGCGAGAAGCATCATCTATCTGTACTTGTCATCTAGGGGGTGTTTGGTTACACAGCACTCGCCATCCCTGTAGCTCCTTGGCTGCAACACAGGACTGGCTGGGTGATATGTTCTGGGATCTGGTCTCTGGATCAGAGGCAGTTTCAGGTAGAGTGTAGTGCCGGGGCAGAGGTGTAGGGTGAGAACCAGAACTCTGAGCCCAAGGTCCTCAGTGTGTTCTCCCAGCCAGCACGGACTATCTCCATCTGAGTGCAGAGGGCCCCATGGGAGCTACTAACAACAGTTTAGATTTGATTATAGTAGAATTCAGCACAGCACAAACAGAATGCAGAGTCCAGTTAAGCAAAAAACAAGCAAACAGAACAAACAAACAAACAAAACCCTTACTTTTTGGTAGAACTTTGGGGAAGGAAAACAAAATGCTAACATTCAGTCAGAAAGGCATCTCTAGAAGAAATTAATTTGCATATACACATCACAAAACAACCACTCAGAGATTAAGTCCATACTAGTTTCTCTGGTCATTAGCTAATGGTTGCCCTGCAGATGTAACGGCCAAAGGCACACTTCTTCCAGTCAGTCAGCACCTAGTGACAGACTTGCAGTGCCTGTCGGGCATCCGAGGATATGGGCTCAAGGCTATTCATTTTTGGTAAAACCTTTAAACTTCCCTTCCATCACAGGGGGAAAGTTCACCCATCCAAGGAATGCAGTCACTCTCACATGCTGAAATCTCTTAAACCAACTTGAAACTAATAGCGTTTTGAGGGATTGTTGCCCTTTAAGAAAGAGGCATAGATGTTAAAACAGATAAAACCTGGGACCCTTTACCACACATTGATCTAATAGAGAGGGTAGGTCCAATCACATCCCAACACAGAGGCCTAACTATCCCATGGACATGGCCAGGCTGCCTGCCATGTATCTGATATGGACCAGCTAAGAGAGAACAGAAGACTACACACTTGTGTGAAGATGGAAAGAGAAAACCAGGAAGAAGCATAGTTAACAGTCTCAATGCTTTCCTAACATTTTGAATGTTTCCATTAAAAATGTATTTCTACTTTTTTTTTCTTGGAGTATAAGTTTTAGCCCCTCCACGAGATGGCTGGTGTTAGAAGGCAAGAGCAAGGCAGAAGAAGTCTCCCTTAAACATTAACACAAAGGCTGATGTAAGAAGCTAACCTCCATTGCAGCTCAGCATAGCTCTGATCATGGTCTGGGGGCTGCTGCAGATGCCCCCACCTCCCTGAAATCACACCACCACCGCTGTGGAATCCTTCCCTCCATTCAGACAGCAAGTGACTGCTGGCACTGCAGAGCTGCTCTGATAAAAACAAAAACAGAACTCCTGAAGAGATATATGACTTATAAAAACCCAATGTCTATTAAAAACATTAAAATGGATTAATCTGATCTATGGTTGACATATTTAACAAATTCACTGAAGACGTTTACACAGAGGAATCTAAAATTTCCATTTCATTAGAACTTACTGTGGAATGCTGAGAAGAATGGGTCGCGTTCAGGGATTCTGTATGATCAAGAGTTAGAACAAAGTGAATTAATCGACGACTCTCACCTAGGAAGCCGGCGTAAGTTTGTGTATTTCCAGAAATTACAAAGTTACCTGTGGAGATGCTTTACAAAGTCACGTTAAAAGGTTAGGACAACATGAAACTCAGGAACAAACTGGACTGCACTTTCTGCCATTACTTCAACTAAAGTTTTATCTAGATATTACCAGAAACCATTTGGTTCCTCTCCAAATCATGTAGCTTTAATTATTAACACTGATAAGTACCCAGACTTTTAAACCAAGTAGGAGTGCAAACTCTTTCTCATCTGAATCCATGTATGAAATGATCTCTAACACACATGTGCATTACGTCTTTAATTAGAGAGCCATGTGAGCAGGAGGCCAATTATTTTCAAGACCTTTACATCTCTCTCCAGACAGTCACAAAAGGCTGAGAGTCAGATTAGCTTACAGTACTGCACTCTAAGTAATTCTCATTGCACTACTGACAATGAAATGCTATCTCAGGACAGAGCTGATGAGCAGAAACAAACAAAAATAACACAAAGCATTAACAGGCTTTAGGACTTCGTGCTGCGATCGCAAATGGAGCTTCTCAGCTGGGCGGTGGAGTGCACCTCTAGTTCCAGCTACCTAGGAGGCTGAGGTGAAGTACTGCTTATGCCCAGGAATTCAAGGCCAGTCTAGACAACATAGCAAGATCCCTATCTCAGAAACACAACACAAAACTGGAGTTTCTCACAGCATGTAACCTTAGTTCCAAGCAAGCCAGCCCACCCTTTAGAACTCAAGAGCCACTCTGATGTAAGGATGCATATATGACAGCCACTAAGGGAAGGTGGGAGGGAGTTATGAATGGCCATACAGAACACTACCCTTAATGAAATTGGCAAATTGGACTTTTCAAGTACACAGAAAATTCTGGATATTAATGCTTAAAGCTATTCACAAATGTTTCTTTTTCCTCAGTAACTTTTCTATTGTGGTGCTTATTCATTAAGTAATGCAACTGTGATGTTCTCTTCTCCCCAGGAACACTATGCAGGGAGAAATCACGGATTTGCTTTGTTCACCAGAAGGGGTGATTTACGAGGGCAACAGAAACTGAGAGGTTTGGTGAAAACAGTTGACGAGGACAAGCAAGCCTTTTGCTGGACCTTTAGATAGGCATTCAGTGGTAATTGCTCTGACCAGGCCTTGCTCCCAAGTAGTAATATAAAAAGGAAACAAACCCCAAACCTCTGCTAGTCCTTGGACTCACTTCCACCACGTCAACAGGACCATCTCTGCGTACCTCTCCCTCTCTCTCCATTCAGCTTTAAACAGAATGTAGCAACAACTGAAAGCTAAGAGTTTAAATGGTTTTAAAAAATCACTACATAAAATTTTTTTCTTAGTTTTTAAGTTCTCAAGATTTAATACGTGCTTTAAAATTCATTACTAATTCAGTGGGGTTAAAAAGCACCTACTGCTGGACCCTTTTCCTCCTACGGTTGCCTTGCCCAACCTTAAAATTAGGGTTTCTATCTAGTTTTATTGTAACTTGTTATGCCATGTTTGGCAGATATCCCTGGGAGGCCTGCTCTTTTTTGACAGGGAGGGGAATGGAGAAGTGGATCTGGAGGACTGGAGAGGTGGGGGAGGGAAGCTGGGAAGACTGGAGGGAGGGAAACTGGTTGGGATGTTATGTATGAGAGAAGAATTGAAAAAAAAAAAAAAAACCCTATAGAACGTTTTCCTATGCTTTAGAGCAGAGGTTCTCAACCTGTGAGTTGCAAACACCCTTTCACAGACCATCAATAAACACACATGCTTACATTACAATTCATAACAGGAGCAAAATTACAGTTATGAAGTAGCAATGAAAATAATTTTATGTTGGGAGTCACCACAACAGGAAAAAGTGTATTAAGGGTGGGAGGATTAGGAAGGTTGAGAGCCACTGCTCTGCAGCAATCCTCCATTTCCTATTGCAGATGCAGTCCTACTGTCTTTCCCAATCTGTTCATTTTTAATGAGACAAGACTGTATCTATTCATCATGTACATGATATACATCTTCAATAGTAAGGACCAGTCTACACTTAAATGAGACAAGATTATATCTATTCATCATGTACATGACATACATTTTCAATAGTAAGGACCAGTCCACACTTTAAAACCCGTTTTCACATGCACACTCACTCATGAACTCAGATATACACAGAGAATGTATTTTTGTGAAGCACCATTTCATACCTACAAGAAAAATAATGAATTCATTTTCTTACTATAATTGTTATGAAGAATAATAATGCAATTTACAATGCAATATTTAATATAAATAGTAAGTGAAAATACTGAGACAGCTTAAAACTATTCAGAAGTATCTGAAAAGGCTCAAATGTGTCTTCTAAACACAATATTTACTGAGCAATTCTAATATTTAAGTGATTGTAAATTAATTTATTTCAAGACCAAATAAATAGAATGAAGAGAGAATACTACATCAAGTCAACTGATGAAGCACTAGTCACTAACTGACCCTAGGAAAATCCACAGTAAAACTGCTGATATTCTTTGGCCTAATGCAAAATCCAAGTACTAAGTGGAAAGCATTTCTGTATTTTGTCTTAGCTTTGTATTTTTAAGGCTCATTGTCTCAGGAAGACTTTTGCTATACATGATCTTGGCACATTAAAGGACAATATGGTTCTCTACTTTGAAGAACAAGACATGAAATTTAGGTAGTTTATTAAAAAGTATAATTAAGAAAGAAGTCTATGTAAGAAAGCTTCATATATTTTCTATCTCCTTGATTTTACTTACAGGAATTTATCATTATCAATTTATCACTTGCCATGGTTCAGAATTGTTAGATGTTGACATCAACCTAGTGATGAATCACATTTTTCAAGTTGTTTTTACTTTTGGATTTGCACCCCAACCATCTCAACTATTTATTTTATAATTTATCAACAAGTATGCTTAAAAATCTCAGCTCCTTCCTACCATCCAGCATGTGCCAAGATCTCTTCAACTTCTTGTTCATTAGTACTTAGGGAAGAAAAGACTACATATCAAATTTGGAAAGGTAAATCATTTAGATGATTAAAAGAAAGCACATCACTCAGAAATGAAAGGTCATTGTTTTGACAACCCCAGTGTATGCATCCTCTCTGACATGACTTCCTTATAATCAGAAGCTAATTGAAAAATGGTTATCCAGAACAAAGACAAATATGCACACAAGCTCTCTCAATGTGCAGGTGCATTTACAACAGTTGTTGCTTCAACCCAAACATTCACACTTAGTTTCTCTGGATTTAAACAGCTGAGCTGCAGTCATGACCCAAGATATGGCTTATGTTGTGAGCAGGTCTGTTTGAGGACTGCTTGGAGGAGTCAGAAGCAGAGGAGTTTGCTATAGTGAGCAAAGGTGACATTGCTGAGCCATCAGGAAGAGCCGTTGCTATTTCCGGAAACAATGATGTCATATTAAAATTGGATAGGTGGGAGTTGGCCATGTGCATTGGCGGCATTTCAGGGAGAAGAGGAAAGCTCGGCTGCGCAAAGCCAACGGGTCTGGGAGGAGATAAAATGGATCCAAATCGGTTGTTTAAACTTCCACTGTTTACTTTCTCTGTGCTAGGATTGGAGAACATTTGATTAGAAAAATAAGGGATTGAAATGTCATTGGACAGAGTAGGATGAGCAGGAGAATAGGGGGGGTAAAAGGAGGGTAGAGTGTTTTGGGGATCTACTGGGATGAGAGCTGGAGTTCGTGTGGCACTAGGCTGGGTAACCTGTGGAATGAAGGAAGTATTTGCATTTATTGGTGGATTCATGCCACCCTCGGGAATAAAGGGGAAACCAAAATTTTGTGACAGCGTATGCTGGTCAGGACCTGAATTATCATTAGGTACTTGCGGACTGTCAGGCATAAAACGGACAATACTCCCTCTCTTCTCTGTGGCAGGTTGCTGACGTCCAAGAATCATGCTGCCACCAGCAGAGAGAGGAAGATGAGGAAGACTTGGATCAAAGACATTACTGTGCCTTTGATTTCCAGAACGATTCCTTTCAGGTTGGCGGATTTTGGAACCAGTGCTGTCTTGCAGGGGATGTCTTGACCTCTGGGCAACTGAAGAGTTAGCCTGACGTACAGGAGGCCCTTGGTCAGCATTCCCATGAGATACAGATGGGTGTGGTAAAGTTGGCCTTGCTACTCCATGCATGTTGGATGTGACAGGAGGGTTCATGTGGCTCTTGGTCCCATGACTGTCAGTAATCCTCATGGGATTGGATTTCTGGACAGAAACATTGGGACTTGTGTTTCGACCTTGAATGTCTCCTGAGGAAGAGGAACTTGAAAAAGGAATATTCAAAGTGCTGTTCCTGGTGTTAATTGTACCTAAAGACATGTCACAACTCTCCCTATTCTGATTTTCACTCTCTCTTCTAATATGAACACTTTCACGAGTTGGTGGACAATTATATTCAATTGTCGAAGATGGACCACATTGTGTATTCCTTGGATGCTCTGAGAGTGACCTTTGACTCCCAATGACCTGATCACCAAGGTGAGGAGCAAGTAAACTCTGCATGAAACTCTGGTGACATGTATTCTCATTATCCCTTGGTGGGACAGCATTTCCTGTTGGGATGCTCTGAACTGGTGGATAAGGTAATCTCTTTTGTCGATCAATTGGTGGTGGGCCAGTGTTTTGACTAATTCGAAAAGCCTGGGACTGCATACTTCTCAGTGATGGCACAGGGTTACCTATTTCATTATTTCTTGAAGACTGTACTTCAAAATTACTCTGGGGCTGTTGGCTGGCTCCAGCTGGTTTGAATGTCTGACAATCAGGAAGGGGGACGGTATGGTCCATTCGACCCTGCATATTATGAAGTGCCAAGCTTTTATTCCTGGGAACATCGAGATAACTTCTCATTTCAAGCTGCTCTGAAACCCTCGAACCCTGAATTGACATGCCCATTCTCTGCTCTGAAGTAGAAGATGACTTTCCAATGAGAGCCTCAGCAGAGTAACTTGACACTCGGTTTCTCTCTGGCCTGTGTGGAGTACAGGTCATATCTGAAGACCTAGTCACAATACTGGGTTGGGACACCATTTGCTGCTCTAAGCCTCTTGTCGGCAAAAGCCTCTGCATTTGATTATGCCCAGATACATGGTCAGAAGAAACCGCTGAACCTTGCTGTCTGCTTCCAACATCCTGTTGCTGGTGCAGAATATCTTGATTGAGATGATTCTGGGCATGGTTGTGGTGGCCCCGGCTAGTTGAAGGGTTTTCACAGCTCTTCTCCGGCTGGGAATTTGCAAAGTGTTGCTGTATTTGTTGCTGTATCTGTTGATGGTGAGGATGTGGCTGACTACTCTTGGGTCTTGACTGATCAGTCCCATGGTGTTTTGGTTGTAAGGACAGCTGAGATGCAGGAGCGCCCTGAACGAGATTCCTCTTCTTCTGCATCTGAACTTCCTGTTGTAGAGTTCTCTGTTGGTGCACAATATGGGGCTGGGAGTGGACAGCACTGTCTGCATGAGGCACATGATGCTGCAGCTGATACAAGTGATGCCTCTCTCTTAACTGCCCTGCTTGCTGCTGCTGTTGTTGCTGCTTGATGTAGAGATGGTTGGTGTGAAGGTGAGATACCCCTTGAGTTGGTACATGCTGCTGTAGGGCCTGCAGATGTTGACTTGCCTGGGTTTGCTGCTGTTGCTCAGCAACTGGAGGCTGAGAACTACACTGAACTTCTGTCTGCCTCAATGCAGGCGCCGCAAAGTTGTTACCAGGTGGGAATAGCCGTGTAAGGCTGTCTCCATGTGCTGGGTTGCTAGCAGGTACCACTGAGTTTGAAGAGTTGGTGGGGATCTGACTAGCCATCATTTGAGTTTGATCAGGAATGCTGTCTGGGGTCCTGCTCATCAAGGGCAAACTTTCAAGCCTGAGAGGGGCTGCCTGACAATGCTTTTGGCGTTTGGCTGAAGACAGTAAAAGATCATCTTGTACAGTGCGCTTTGTAGAATCTTTACGGCCTTCGTGACTAGGCTTTGAAAGGGGTTCTTGAATCTGTGGATTTGGTATGGCGCTAGTCATGCTATTCAGCTGTTCCTGGGAATATTCTGTCATCAGAGGTGGCACAGGAGGCTGGCTGCCATAAGAACTGGATGCAACAGTCATATTAACGGTCACAGGAATAGATGTTTGCTCGGAAGTCTGTGATAACCCTGTGCAGCTGACCAGAGGATGGTTGATGCTGCTCTGATGGATAAGATTATTCACACTTAAACTGGTAAGACTCGGTGGCTGAGAGGCCGACACCTGTAAAGAGGCATTTGATGTTTTAATTCCCAGAGAACAGCTTGGCTTTTCAAGAGGCCTATCGACTGTGACTTCCACTGAGTCCTGAGAGTTAAATTCATTTGGTGTTGCATCTGCCTGTCCTGTGCACGGTTCCTTATGGAGCTGTGGTTTAAAAGGCTGCTCTCCCTCTAAAGAGGTTTCAGAAGGCTTGGAAGTAACCTCCCTCATCTCAGTTTGTGTGCCAACCCTTCCCTTGTCAATGTTCTCCTGGTCCAAAATAGCTCTTGCTGCCAGGGCTACGATATCAGTTTGCTCTGCAAAGGTACAGCTGTCACATGTATTAGTTGTTGTACTGCTGGTCACATCCTCTCGAGCTGTTTCAGGAAGCATGGATGCAACCGAGAAACTACGACTACTGCCAGAGCTGGTTGACATAGGAGAGTCAGCCTGCCTACTGGTGAGCAAAGAACCATTCAGAACCTCTTGATCAGGGAGACAGGAGTGGTGCTGTGGTGGGTCTCTGTCATCGTTCATCAGTAACAGTTCCTGCTTGGGATGCATGTCAACGTTAGAATCACCTATCTTAGAATTTTCTGGAGAAAAATCAGGGTGATCAATCTGGACAGAAAGAGATGATTTCTGAAGGTCTTTTTCTTTAGTAAGATCAGACAGCAACATAGTTAGACCTTGCCCCTTTAAAGGCCCTGCTGTCTGCATGTTGTTCAGTGAATCTTGCTGAACTGGGCAAGGTTCTGCCACAATCTCTACCTCAGAAATACAGTCAGTGCTTGAAGTGCTTGTAGTAGATGACATACCAGAAACCTGAGAAACCAAAATCTGGGATTCGATAGGAGATGGAATCAACACATGGGTTGAAGTACAGGATTTTGTAGCACTAGACAATGCTACAGTAGTTGGTGGTGTACCCTGAGATGTCTCTTGCAAGATGGGAGTAGAATCTTTGGATTTTGCTGGGGCCACTGCAAATTGTTCATTTGTTTCAGATTCTTGGGAGGATGAGCTACAGTCTTCTACTGACTTAGACTTGGACACAGACTCAGGGATTACTGATTCAGAATTCAGAATGTCCAAAGAATGTGAAGTAGAAATACTAACACTCTTTGCCTGGGACACAGCAACAGACGGTAGGTTGACAGGAAGGCTGTCCAGCTGTCCATCACTACATGACAGCTCTGTTGAGCTGTCTGTTCTGGGGCCATCTAGCTTGCCCACATCTCTGACTGAATTCAGGGGACATGCTGGCTTGTTAACTGCTAAGTGTTTCTTGGCACCTGGCTTCTTGTTCAGTCTTTTTGATTTCATAGTAGGGGGCAAACAAGTGATGGTGTTTGTTGAGGAAGCTGCTGCAAGACTGTAAGTACTGGGTAATGTGGCTAAATTATCTGTTGTCATGGTAGGTGCTACAGTTGTTGTTAGTGAAGCACAGTTAGCTGGGCTGGTTTGACTATTTGCAGAAGTCTGAGGATTAGCAGACTGGCTAATAGACAATTGCACACAACTTTGCCCAGCCATCTGTGATATGCTCTGATTGAGGCTGGCCAAAGCCCCAAATGTGTTCAGGGCAACATTTGTATTTGGATCTTCACTGGTGGTGGGTTGAATAATTTGCATAGGGGTTTGATTTGTAGTTCCTGATGAAGACATGACAGGCTGCAATGCAAAGAGTTGTCCATTTAAAGAAATGGTTTGAGGCTGCTGTTGGTTTGACATGGTAACAGAAAAAGTTTGGGTTGAATTAGTCGTGGATAAAGATGAAGGTCTTGGTAGTATGTGGACAAGATGCTTTCCTCCAAAAGTCTGTGGGGCTGGCACACTTTGCACTGAATTATGAGACCCTATTATAGCACTGGCTCCATTGACAGGAAGTCGAACAGGACCAGGATGGGGAGCAGAGAGGAGTGGCAAAGGGTTCTGATTGGCTGCCTGTATGATGACAATCTGTTGACCTACTGTTTGGTTGGGAACCTCTGCCCTCAACATTGTTGGGCATGGGGTTGTACTGGGTGGTTGAAGAATAATAACATTTTGGTTACCTGGAGCTGCAGTGACAGCTGACCCAACAGGCTGAGCCATCTGAATTACTTGCATCGCTGAATTCAAGGGAAGGATATTTTTTGGAGGCTGAGATTTAACTTGTGGCTGGGCAATTGGTGGCTGCATAGGTAAAGGTGGACACGAAGGCAAAGTTACCACTATTTGCTCAACTGGCTGCCCATCTGCTGGAAGGGAATTACTTAAGGTGATGCCTGTAGACACATGTTTGTGGTGGCTTGGGGTAGGGCTGGTACCAGACTCATTTAACACTGGAGTCACAGCAGAAGACGGAGTCTGGCTTAAAGGCTGAATAGTGTTTCCGGCCAGGTGCAAAGTAGTCCATGTTGTCTGCGTGTTTCCAGCTGAAGAGATTCGGGTAAGGCTATTGATGTTTTTCAAATCTGAAGCACTAACACTTGAAGAAGGCAAAGAACATGAAAGAGTCCAACCGTTGTCCAAAGGCTTTGCAGAAAGACTGCTCACTGGGAGTGTGGTCTTCGCTACTCCAGTGTGAACTGGTGCCACTACTGTCGTCGTAGTTGTTGAGTCTGCTGTCTTGCTAATGCTTACTGGAGAAGATTCACCTGTAGATCTGGGAGGCTCGGAGCATACTGTGGTGGTAACTGACACAACAATGGTGTTCTGCAAATCTCCACTGGAGCTCTGCACACTCGGGCCAGATTGGGTTTCATGATGCTCCTTAGAGGCAGGTGCTGAGCTGCTGGAGGAGATGCTTGTGACACACGCAACTGTTTTCTTTGATTTAGGACTCTCTTGCCCATTGCTATTTTCTGAAGCATTTTGATCAATTAGGCATGTGTGCAAGGAATGATGTTGGTGAGGTTCAGGGCCAACTGAAACGGTGATCAATGAGCCACCAGTGGCACCAAGCACACTCGATTGGCTTTCGGAAGTAGAAAGTTCAAGAATATTTTGAGCAGAAATGGCAGTGGGAAGACAAAGGGGAACAGGCTGGTTGGCAGCCAGTGCAGACACTGTATTCTGATGCCACGGCTTGTTTTCAGAAGGGTAAACTCCAGAAATAGACACAGGAGTCACAAGCTTGCAGGTCCTCTGCACTGGCACCACATTGGCGGTTTGCTTTTGCAAGCTGTGACCAACATTAAAGGTTATTCCCTGAACAGCTGTCCCCTGGCTGTTTCCCCCAGGCTGGCTCCCGTTGGAATAAACAATGATGTTTTTTTGGACCTGGTCACTTGGAATAACAACTGACACCTTTGAGTTTTTTAGATTTCCTTTCCAGTGGATTGTGGGGTCATCATATAAGCATATATCATTTGCTTTCAATAATTCAATATATCGGCCATTTTCTTTTTGGATTTCTTCCAGTTGTTTCCGTAGCTTTTTAATTTCTTCAGCTAAAATATTAGAATTGAAGATGTAAAAATACCGGTGAATGTCACTGATTATAAGAACAATATAACAATAAAGATATATATTCTAAGACACTGAGTTCCAATCTAGTCTCCAAATGCCTCAGTAGAGCCATGAGCTCTCTGATGCTGTAAGGTTTTCTTCTAAGAGTGACACCCAAGCCTCCTTTCTATTCCTTTAAAACTATATAATATACCTTTAAAGGCCAACCACTGAAAACTCCAATGGTATACAAGTCTCACCATTCCCTATCCAAACTTTCTAGGAGCATAGCTAACAGATGAAAAGGGGAAGACGGACTGATTCCTGGTAACATGCTTTTGATAAGCTAATGGCTCTTTGCTCAGGGCTTCAAGCTTAGGGTTACAAGTGACAAGCCTCTTAAACTCTATGATACAGAATTTGAAGGTGTAGTCCTCAGTACTAGAGCTGAACAGGCTTTGGCTCAAATTCATCAACTTGTGGGATATTTTTCAAAGCAGCCTGACATAGTAGCCCAAGGGTGGCCAGAATGTATTAGATATCCTCACAGCCACTCATGAAAGACACTTTTTTTTATTATCAAGGTTGATTGGTATAATTCTTTTCTTGTTTTTTTGTTTTGTTTTGATTTTGAGACAGGGTTTCTCTGTGTAGCTTTGGAGCCTATCCTGGGACTCGCTCTGGAGACCAGGCTGGCCTGGAACTCACAGAGATCCGCCTGTCTCTGCCTCCCGAGTGCTGGGATCAAAGGCGTGAGCCACCAACACCCGGCTGATTGGTACAATACTTAATTCTGCTAATGTCCCATCTAATTGACAAAAACAGGTCAAAACCATGCTAGACACTACCATCTCTTTTGGAAAATAGTTTTGGAATAGGACCTCTGAATCTTCAGAGTTGAAATGAATTGTAACTATTATAATCTTAGTAGCAATTATATCAGTCTTGGACCTTGTGTACTTAACTATCTTATTTTTTTTCTGCTTTTAATTACAGTCACTCCATCCTCAGACAGTCCTTCAGCAATCTTAACTTCATAAAGCTCAAAGTCAGCAAGAACAGAAACCTTAATTTCTTCTATACCCACTGAAGCCCAAAATAGCCAGACTAACTAGATGTTCAACACCTAAATGACTTTAGGGTCTCATCTCTTGAGGAGGTAATGTGAAGTAGGTAGGTAGATATCAGCAGGCTTGGGGCTTATGAGCCCCTCCCTCAAAATCAGAGGCTTTTAAACCAAGGACCAGAATTGTAGGGTTCTGGTTACTGGCTAAAGAAATGAGATGTAAGACATATCTCTAGTTCTCAGTGAAGATGTGACATTCTGAACTGAATGGAAGGTCACTACTATATTATCATATTGCATATAATCATGTTATACATATTCTATTAATGTGTGTGTGTGTGTGTGTGTGTGTGTGTGTGTGTGTGTGTG